TACTCTTTGATGTTGATTTTACAGTTGGTTAATTGTTTGTATAATCTCATTCTTTGTATTATATTGCTATTGAAATAAATGCTATATGCTATAATGATCATGTTTTGTTGTTTAGGGATTTGTATGGTTTTTTGTACAGCTTGTTACACCTTTTTTGCAATCAAAACACCAATAAATAATCTGTTTTGTTATTCAGGGATTTGGATTAAGTTTCTTGTGTACAGTTTGTAACACCTTTTTTGTATATTGCATATGCAAGATGTACATGCATTGTTAATCAAATTGTTCATTCTTATATTAACCACATGTTATATTGAAATTAAAAAATAAAATGTGAAAAAATGTGTATATTATATATATTTTAATTCATCAAATCTTGCCCAATAATTGGTAAGTGTGGGGTTTTGTCGACTCTATAAAACTGAAGTGGTGGGGTTTTGTCCACTCTGTAAAATTTAGTGTCGGGGTTTTGTCCACTCTATAAAATTTAGTGGTGGGGTTTTGTCCACTCTATAAAATTTAGTGGTGGGGTTTGTCCACTCTATAAAATTTAGTGGTGGGGTTTTGTTCACTCTATAAAATTTTGAGGAGTGGGGTTTTAACTGGTGGGGTTTTGTCCGTCTTCCAAATTTTACTATTAATTATGAATCCTTTATGAAAGAAATTTAATATTTTAGAATTTTGAAAATTCGTCTTAAGAAGAAATATAAAAGTACATTCTCTTCAGAAGTTATCTTTTATTTTTACTTCCATGTTTTACCCGCTTATTGTTGGTATTTATTATTATCATTATTATCATTATTATTATTTTTATTATAATTATAATTATTATTATTATTATTATTATTATTACTATTATTATTATTATTATTATAAAAAGATAAATAACCGATTAAGCATTAGAATCAAAGTAATTCAGCCTTTATTGGAAAACAAGTAAAACATTAAAAAAAGAAGAAAAAAAAACATAAAAACTTAGTTAAAAGTGTATACGTTTATAAAGCCTAGTAGGTGTAAAATCTAATCAATTTTATTTTGTCAAGTTTTTTTCATGTAAAGAATGTATGTTACACTGATAAAAAGTTTCAAAGTCATTTACCGACAGTGACTGGTGGTTTAAGTGTGTTTGTGTGTGTGTGCGTGCGTGCGTGCGTGCGTGTGTGTGTGTATGCGTTGGCGCGCGCGCGCGCGTGTGTGTGTGTGGGGTGGGTCGTGTTAGTGTATGTACGCGCGCGCTCGTATGCGTTCGCGTGTGTGTGTTTTTCTTCTTACTAAATAAGAATATAGTATTCATATAGCAGTAACATTAGAAATAAGCAGAAACTAAAGTAAAATTATTCCTGTCCTCAAGTTGTACGATGTAAATGGGACATTTGTTTTCAAATGGACTGAGAAATAAGACAGATAATAAAATATTTAAAATATGCAAAAGTGTATACAAATTTTCATTATAATTTTATCTATGTCAACCTAAAACATAATATTCGGACGTGTTATGTAACTGTCGACATTTTAATTATATATAAAATATGTTGACAATGAATAAAAAAGACAAAAACATAAAAGTATCAGTTTTGTACAGATAAGTAGTTTTTGTAGGGATACAAGATTGATTACATCGTAAGGTTTTCTTTGCTTTCATATTAAAACTTTTGGACAAAAAAGTCATTATTCTTTTAATTATCATTTTTATATTTCTGATTACCAAAAACAATATTTAATATTTAAGTGAATACCAACTGTTTTAGTACATATAGCTTTGAAATATGTCATGCATATACACATGCATGCATTGAATTGTTTCCTAACAACCTATTTTTACATTTAAATCTTCTTTAAATGAGGCTGAACATTTTCCGCCTTCTTTCACAGTAAAATACATCATTCATTCTTTGGTCTGACTTACGATACAAAAATCATTTAGTTGATGACATATGGTCTTATAAGAATTATTATACCATTAAAATGAAAGATAAAAATACGCTTAATGGGAAATAACCAAGCATACATAGAGGTGAAAACAATCATGTATTACCTTTCTTGAATGTTGACCTATTAAATATCTCTAAATATGTTTGCAAAAAATGTGTCTCGATTATGTTTAAGCACCCTATCATGGTTTCACTTGTTACAATTTTATAGAGCTAAAAACAACAGAAAGAAAAAATAAAGAAATAAAAGAAATTTTGTATGTAATATACGACAATATTTTATCATAATATATGGATGAACGTTTTAAACATACTCTTTACTTATTCACTCTGCAGTTTTCTTTTGGTCTTGATTAATGCTTACACACATTTATCAGCCGTATGTCTAAATACTACCTTAAAGCATGACGATGCTTTTCAAAACACGAGAGTGCAAACAATATATGCGCAGTGTTACTTACATCAATTTTGATAATAAATGTGAAGTGAAATTCTTGTACATGTAGTTAAACTGGAAATGCAGACTTTGCAGACTCGGTTTGAATGACCTTATGTTAACGCCCCCTGACACCGGCTTTAGCAAATTCATCATTTGAAAAAGTAATTGTGATATTTTGACTTTATAAACATTCGCATATTTACGAGAAAACATCTTGTTAGTAACAACTTGTAAGATTTATTAGTAACCTGGCCCCATATAGTTAATATTTACAAATTCTAGTACCATCATGTTGTCAAAAAATGCTAAATAAAACTTGTGATGTCAATGATGTTTAATTTTCGTTCTTTGAAGATCGTGCAGCACGACATTATTAGTGTGTGTACATGTTTGTGGTATTTTAAGTTTCTTCTATTTGACCTTTTTCAAATTGGGTGGTTCCAGTATTCCGATTTGAATACTGTATAATCATCCTTAAGATATGGTGTTTGTCTTTTAAATTGTTTGCTGATTGCAATTGCTCATTTGTGAAACGAAGGATTGATAACATCTGTTCCCCTTTCAAAATTCCATTTTGTTTAGTTTTCCCCATTGTTTTTTTTTGTTCAGGATACACGGTTCTTTTACTTTGGAACCATAGGCTGCTTTTCATGGGATGGAACTAAAATGTCAACATTGAAGGTCGTATGAAGTTGCATTTTTAGTACCGTTCATGAACAAACTCAATCAAACCGAGCTTACAACATCTTCAATTGTGTTGCTTTGGGTGATCTTAAGAGATCGGTTTTTCTCTATTCTACAGGGATCGACCGCATGTTTTGACTATCATTATCTACGATAGTATGTATTTTATATGCTTATGCGAAGAACGTTTTAAGGAACTGGAGATTATGTCTTCGTCAAGAACTTTTTCAGTCTAAAATCATGACGATCATCACAGAGAACAACGTAAAATAACAGCCTTGGCTCGAAAAATTCAACTACAATATCTACAACTTAGGAAAGATTCTCCTCGTTAGACGTTAGAAGATATGCAATCGGCTACTCAGAAATGGGGGAAAGTTTAGTCTTGCTTTTTTGTTTCGTTTGTTTTAACAAAATCACACCGTTTTCAAATTTTTCTAATAAAGATAGCTTTTATGATGTTTGACATGTCACCGAGCTTCAAGGAAATAAAATAACGTTTAACTGAAGTGATAGTGACATGTTTAAATATGATACTCTTTTTATCATTATCTATAACGTGCTTATGAGCCAGTCTATGACAGGAAACAAATTCCGACAGGGAACAAGAGGTATGACTAAAATACGACACAGAGATTTTTTTGACACTACGGAAATATTTCTTTGCAAAACGTGTGCTTATTCATGAAAATAATTAACATTTAAGTAATAAAACAGATTTACTGAGTTAAAAGTACGTTTATTTTAAAATGTACGTATTACAAATATTTGTTGATGTTTATTTGAAGTATTCTGTGACAATTGTTCTCTTTTGCCTAGATTTGTTTATTAAAATTAGTGGTTCTGTACCTTCATCCCAGGTAAATATGCAATCTTGTGTTAATCAAGTAGTTAAAACTTTTATGAATAAGTAAACAATACGTAATAAAGAATTGATAATACGGTCATGTATTCAACAGTTTGTTCATAACTATTATTTGATATACAGACACATTTTTGCTATTTGTTAAAAAAAAACAGAACAGTTCGCCTGCAATTCGCACAATATTTAAATGGACATATTCTCAGCGCAACGGAGATATTCGTTACCTCTGTCTTGATTTTATTTTAAGTATACCAATCATTTCATTTTTATTTGTTATCCAATTTATTTTGCTTCGACCAGACCTTTCAATCTTTGTCGCAACAGACAATCATTTCAGAATTTCAGACATGTATTAATTTGTGAATTCATGCATTAGGTTCTACTTTTTCACAAAAATATGCAACTTAATTATTAAACAAAGAGCACATGCCAAGAACATGGAGAAAAGATTATTAGTGCTTAGGATATTCAACTGTAATCGAGAACCATTGTCAAGGTTGTTTTTGTACATTATCTGTTACTGCTCACATCATTAGGCGGTGTCTTTGATGTGCAGGATCAACATTTAACTTGTCTTATTTTAATAGGCCAATGAGTTTCGGCCGACGCAAGTACATCTAATTCAAATAAACATCATTCCAATACCCCCGTTCACGTTCATATTACACACAACTATAAAACCAAACCACCCATGCTCGTGACACAATATAATAAACTTCTATAACAAACAATGTTACCTTAATTTCGAAACTGTGTTTTGGGTAACTTACAGGAATGTATGATTTAACAGTGTATCTGTTTTAGACAATTCAATAAAACCAATACACAAAGTGGTAAATGCAGTCCCTTTATGACCGAGTCAGTTCAGGAGTTTTATGTATAAAAGTATTAAGAGACTACAACCCCTTTGCTACATAGCAGCATTTTAAAATAATGTGAGAATAAAATTAAGACAAATCACGTAACTGATACGTGTTCAACAATAAATTTACAATGACCAGGCTAACAGTTTAAAATTCGTGACAATCATAAAAAATAGTTTGTTTTTCTTTATTATACTATGTAATTACTCACTGTCGGTGCATTGTAAGCTGTACATAAATGATTTAAACATTAAAGGTAAGTTCCTTTTTATTTTGTTTAATGTTTGTATCTTTCCCTATTTTAATTAAACATATAATTAAACAAAGCAGTCAACACATAATCAGTGAAATGAAACCATAATCATATACATTCTATATTTATTTATATTCTGGAGACTTAAAAGATATATTTTCAGACTTAATATAATCTTATTTCTGAATATGTTTTAGGCATGTCACATAAAGAAACATAATTTGTTATAAAGTTGTTTGACAGGTTATATTATAAGTTCTAAAGATGTTTGACACGTTATATGGTTCTATATAAACGATTGTTTGTAAATATAAACAAAGCCGCTAGGCGAGGTTTATATTGCAACCAACCGTTTATATACAAAAAACAACTTTAAAAAAGACAACAACAAAAAATAAAGACAAAAAAACATGAGTTGCCTTAACCGGGATTTGAACTTCAGACCCCTCGCTTCCTAAGTGAGCTTGTAAAGTTATAAAAAATCAGCCTGAAGAAAACCATATTGTTCTAAATTAGGGTTTGTAACCTACATTTTGTTTACGGTAAACCTGTTGTTTAACACTGATGGAGCTCAATATAAGCATGTATATCTATAAAGAATAACACAATATTAGAAATCTTGGACCAATCGGGAACTATTTTTTCTTCCCCGAGAAGGCCTGAAAATTAACGCGCCTTGTCATTTGACAATCTTTACGCAGTGATCTCCCCTTAATTTTTCGGCGTTAGTGTACATATAAAGGGAAGTAACCGCTTCGAGTTTGGACTTCTTTCGGTTTTGAAAATAAGCACACCAGGGTCTGAAATTTCGCTACCATTATTTGTTTGGTGTGACGACCAAACAAATAAAAACGGATGTAAAGGTGAAACCTAAAGTCGATAACTGACAATAATAATCACTTTAAAAGGATAGAGAACTTCTATAAAAATGAAATGTCGAATTAAAATGAAATGCAATGATATCACAATACTTTCTTTTCATAAGTAAGACATAAATGATATGAACATACGGCTTAATATTTAAAAATTTCCGATGTGTCAAAGTATTTTTTAAAATGATTACTTCAATTTTGATTGTAATTCAGTAGTATAAGGTTCCAATAATGTATTTTTGTATTTCCTGCCCCAGAGCAACGTCAAGCTTAGTGGATTTTTATATGACAGTGTAAAAAACCACACAAAAAAAATACATTAAACAAGTGTACCGTGAATTAATTTAAGAGTGAATATGTTTTGCTTTTATACTTTTTCGACAAAAACTCATTATTTTCATTATCATTTTCATATTCCTGATAACTAAAAAAGAAAATGACTGTCAATTGCATCAAAGGAAGCATGGGCATGTAATTCACCAGATACTCCTATTTCTTTCTACATTTGTATATACATGATATAAGGAAGCTTTCAAGGAGATAAAGGAAAGTGAAGTCGCCATATGACCTTTGTAATGATTGTGCGACGATAAATGCACAAAAAACTTAATAAAACTAAATTGTAAATAAGAAACATACATGTCGCAGTTGTTTTCGGTGCTTTTTTTACATTTCTAGTAAAGATATGATAAAACTGTATACTAAACAATGTCTAAAAAGCAAACCTTTTCCAAAATTGATTTGAATATTCCATATGTATTATGATAAACTGACACTGTTGAAAATTAACTAACTGATTCCATTCAAATTCACTTTGTTTTTTTTCCCCAATTCCTATAACATGTAATAGCAAAATAATCGATGAAGCGTTTATAAAGGACCTTTTGTAAATATATGTAAATAATAGAAAAACTTAATCTATTCGAGTTACTATATACTGGGGTGCAACTCAAATATCTAACTATATTTCAAAGAAGAATATATCAATTGCTAGTTTGTGTTGTGACACAAAGCGTGAAGCATACAGAAACGTGTTTTGTTTGTTTGTATATTCAAAATGATTGACAAAATACTGTATTACAAGTACATGTAATGGGAAATAACCTCTCACACATAGAATTGTGAGCGGTCATATGTTACCCTTCTTGAACATCAATTCTACATTAGATACTTCTAAAAGTTTACAAAAATAAAGTGTTTCCACCCTTTTTATTAATACGTAACTAGTCGCCATTTTTGTTTTGGTGTAATGGGAAATCCCCGGATGACGCGTATGACGTCATCCAATCTTTTAAATATTCATTTCTTGCTCTTCGGATAGGGTTTAATCAAAGACCGTTTTTCAGCTCTACATTGACGTTTTTAGTGTTTAAACTTCCGTTAGGGTCATTAAAAGTCGCCTGGTTGTGTTTGTTATTAACTGTTTCTTGATGAAAATAATGTTCTGTCACTTTAACAGTCCTTGTAACCTCAGATTACATTTAGCATAAAATTAAGAATTATTAATCGAAGAAAAATAATACCAAACGGAGAATAAATGTACCTGTTTTTATACGGGGTTGTAAATTTGGATGTTTGGTCCAAAGAGTTCTTTGTATTAACTGTACATAATAAAAGTGGATGAGAATGTGAACGAGTGACATGTAAATTCAAGAATCAATAGTTAAAAAGCAGTGATTGTTTCTTTACACTTTGAATTACTTGTTGCATAAATGATCAGCTTTTAATGTAAAATATATATTATAATAATATGCGAACGAACGTTTCAAACATATGCTTTGATTCTTATAAATGCCCATACACATATTAACTAACCGTAATCGTAACGCATGACAATGCTCTCCAAGGTGCAACACCTTAATGTGTAGTTCAATCTCAAAGACAAAATCTATAACATGTAGTTACATTGAAAATTCAGATATTAGAGACACGGTTTGATTGACCTTCCGTCTATGCCCCCTAGCACAGACTTTAGCAAATCTAAATTTGTACATGAAAATTGTGACATTTTGAATTTAGAAACATCCGCAGATTTAGTTTAAATAATACACAATTTCAATTCTAAATATGCATTATACAGAAAGCATCTTGTTAGTAACGATTTATAAGGTTTCCCAGTTACCTGACCCCATATAGTTTATTCTAACAAATTCTAGTAGGGTCTTGTAGTCAAGAAATGCAAAAAGAACACGTGTCACATCAACAATAAAATTTGTGATGTTCTATGGGACATATCGACCACATTACTGCAGTTTTGAAAGAAAAAGAGAGAAAATAAAAACGAATTGCGATGAGACATTTAAAGGTCCACTTTGTCTAAGAAATTCTATCATTTTATTTCTCAAAAACTTTTATTTACAGATTCCAAACATATCCAGAAACAACCCATCTTTTATTTCTTTTGCTATGTCGGCATGGGTATAATGATAGGGAATGATTACTTTATATTGAAGTCAAACACTACTTTGTTAACATTTTTTTTATATCTTTATGACACATTTCTGCAAGTTTAGCGCAACTTTGTGGAGTTGTAAAACATCTAATAATGGACGATATTATGGTTCAACAGTTATACTTTGATATTGTGAGAATGACGCTCGTTTGGTTTTCCAAATAGTTAATAGTTAAAGAAGAGTCGTTTTCAAAAACATGACTGCTAGCTAGTGATCGGCCGATTTAAAAATAAAAAAAAGGCATTTTACCATTGGTGAAAAGAATCCAAAGTGTAGCTTTATTTAAAGTTGCATACCTCTAGATGATTAAAAATATGTTGTTTTTTTTAAATCTTGGAAAAAATGTACTAATCTTCTCCAGAATTATTCCGTTTTTTATTTAGTTTCGTCCATTGCCGTTCTTGTTTAGGACACGCATTTCATAACTTGGGGACTATACGCCACTTTTTCATGGAATGACACCAACGCCACTTTTTCATGGAATGACACCAACGTGTACGTTGAAAGTTCCATGATGACAGCAGTATGAAAACAGCTGCGTTTGTCTGTACATTTGTAATTTTACCATTTCATGATAAATGTTAAATTCTGCTTTAGACGGTGGTAGGGAGCGTAGACGGTAGAAGGGAGCGTGGACGGGTGTTTTTCGTTAATTTTGTATGTGCTGACAACATTTCACTGTATTAAAATATTAGGGTATATTTTGTGTCTGATCTAGAACTTCTTCAGATAGATAGATAGATGGATGGATAGATGGATGGATGGATGGATAGATAGAGCAAAGGATTTAGAACCCTGTCCTTTGACCTTATGTAGACAATACCAACCCTTTTGACTAGGTCTTGTGGTGGTATAATTATGTACGGAGTTTTGCGAAATAAAGTGTTCACACATGTAATCCGGAGACAAGCCATTTTTTATCTTAAAAACATGACACAACATTATTTGTTCAACTCTTCTGTGGACCGGTAACCAGCTAAGGAACTTAAAGTGGGATGGGTCAATATGGGCTCTGAAATCCAAGTCAAGTACAAATCTCATTATTTTATTTTGACAAGTTTGTAACTTATTTTTTAAAGACGGTGTCAAACTATTATACCAAACACAGCATGCGTAATCATAGTGACACTGAATAAGAGACATAATCAGAAGTTTCTTGGTATGCTGAGTAAGAAACTCTTTCTTGCGGTAAAGAATTTTTAACCGAGAGTTGTCCTTTTTAAGAACAGACTCGGCCATTGAGCAAAATGACAGATTTTGGTCTATAGTAATCCCAAGATACTTGATAGATGAAGTTGATTCAATGATTGTACCAGAACAGGTTATATGCAGGTTAGGTTCTGACCAAAGATTTTGCATGAACCCAAATAAAATTGACTCGTTTTTACCCAAGTGCAATGGCAACGTATTGTCCACTAACCATTGGCTGGCCAATTCCATATCATCTGTCAACGCCTTTTCAACAACAGATAAACTTTTACCAGATACAAGGATACCAGAATCATCAGCATATAAAAGCAATTTATTTTTGACCACAGCTGACATATCATTTACATAAATTTAAAAGAGAAGGGGTCCAAGGATTGAGCCCTCAGGAACACCTCTTGTTATTTTAGAATTGGAAGAAAAAGTACCAGAGACATCTACAAGCTGCTGTCTATCTGATAAATAACCTGATGCTTGCAATGGTCGACTGTGTCAAACGCTTTCTGCAAATCAAGCAGCACCATATCAACAACATTACCTATATCGTTTTCATACCTGATAAAGTCTGTAAGGTGAATCAGACAAGTATCAGTAGAGAAGACACTCCTGAAAACTGATTGAAATTTATACAGCACATCTTTATCCTTAAAATAAGCTTCAACCTGGTCATAAACCATCTTTTCAAGGATTTTAGATACAACATTTAAAATGGACACAGGCCGGTAATTACCAACATACAATTTGTCGTTCTTTTTATAGAGGGGAACGACTTTACCTTGGATAAGGAATAAGTTTATGATATGAGTACAACGCCTGCACCCCTACCTCCAAGGTCAATGCCACACTTAGAGGTCAAATGTTGACAGAGTCTGTTATATGGTATATTTTGTGTCCCGTACATAACTTCTTCATAGATCAAGGGATTTTGAATATACTTGGCACAAATAATCACAATGATTAGATTATATGTCATGCGTAACACCTGTGTCCGTACCTCCAAGGTCAGAAGTCAAAGATTTACATAGTCTGTTATAGGGTACATTTTGTCCATACTTTTTTCATAAATTAAGGGATTTTAAAAATATTTTGCACAAATAATCACAATAATAATGCGATAAGTCAGGCGCAAAACATGGGTCCCTAGCTCTAAGGTCACGCTTAGAGGTCAAAGACAAATATGGTGTGTAATAGGGTATATTTTGTGTCCGATCTATAACTTCTTCATAGTTCAAGGGATTTTGAAAATACTTGGCACAAATATTAACAATAATAAGACGATATGTCATGCACAACACCTGCACCCCTACCTCCAAGGTCAAGATCATACTTAGAGGTCAAAGCTTAACATGATAAATTTTTAAATTCCGTGTTTAATTTTTATTTCTTTAAAACATTTATTGTTGCATTTGTAGATCTAGCATTGATCATAGTTTTGGTCTAAAAGTCCTGAGATCCATCATAACCTCAATCTTTTGAAATATCACAATTTTATGCTTCCTATAAAACATCCCCGAGGCGGGGGACGTTGATAACTCTGTTACAAATATTTGTTCAAATAAACATCATTCCATTACCCCGGTCCACGCTCACATCACACACATCTATGAAACCAAACCACCCATGCTCGTGACACAATATTATAAACTTGTATTACAAATAATGGTACCTAAATTTCTAAGCTTCATTTTGGACAGAAAACTTATAGGAATGTATGATTAAAAAAGGTACCAGTTTTAGACAATTCAATAAAACCAATGCAATCAGTAGAAGATGCAGATCCTTTTTGACCGAGTCAGTTAATAAGTTTAATGAATATATGTATAACTTCACACTATGCTACAAAGCAGCATCGAAACATAATGTGAGAATAAAATTAAGACAAATCACGTAACTGATACGTGTTCAACAATAAATTTACATTGACCAAGCTAACAGTTTAAAATGCGTGACTGTTCTAAAAAATAGTTTGTAATGATTTAATATATTATGTAATTACACACTATCGGTGCATTGTAAGCTGTACATCAATGATTAAAACATTAAAGGTAAGGTCTTATTTATTTCGTTAATTTTGTTATCTTTTCTTCTTAAAATTAAACACATAATTAAACAAAGCAGTCAACACATAATCAGTGCAAAAATGGCATAATTATAAAAATTGTATTTTATTTATATTGTGGAGACATAAAAGATATATTTTCAGACTTAATATAATCTGTTTCTGAAAATGCTTTAGTAATGTCACATAAGGAAACATAATTAGTTATAAAGATGTTTGACAGGTTATATGGCCCTATATAACCGGTTGCTTACATACATAACTCGAGCCGCTCGGCGAACATTGTATTGAAAATAACCGTTTATATATGGCCATGTTACCTGTCAGGAATCTTTATAACAGCAATCTCCCTTTTTAGAGAAAAAAATGAGAATGGACAGCAGCTATGTATATAAAACTATATAGACGTCTCGATTATCCAATGAAAAACAACGTTACAAACGAGCAGTATTATAAATACTATGCTTTTACGTAGTGATCAAAGCATTTTCATGTAATTTGATGTGTGCATTTTTCACAAATTATGTTAAAAGTATGTGTCATCCATTCTTTTTCAAATCGAGTTGCTCTGTGTACTCTAAAGATGAAATTATTCAAATATCATACTTAGCCAAAACAAGGCATTTAATATTAGAAAGCTAGAAAGTCGGAAACGTAGCCAAAAAGAAAGAAAGAATTTACAACAATGGAATCACGGGTTAATAATCAAGATGGCAATATGAATGTCGACACGCCGAGAGAAGACGATCCTGACACACAATGTGGATTTGGATCTTTCCGTCCTGGTTTCTTACAGGTAGGTGAACTGCTCCCCAGACCTTCTTGCTCCAAATATGGATATTTCAAACGACGGAAATAACAGTCGATTGATGACTTCACCTTTGTTTTGTAAAACATCGATTGAACGTATTGACAAATTAATATAATAAACTTAAAATTTGACTTTATAAAATAATTCCATGATTCAAAACTTACCTATGTCAAAAATTAAAATAGCCCACAATCGGAAAATACGATTTGCTTGGGTAACACACGCTTCAAAAATATATTCATATATATTTATGGATTCAGTTTTAATGTATACATTTTTTCTTTATTCTTATTTTATAGATATTTGCACGGATTGGTGCTTTTGTTAGTTTTTATAGCTTATCAGGATTGCTGACATCAACGCTGGCTGTTTATATAAACTCTCAGGTAATTTCATTGATGAAACAATGTACATGCACTAGTATGAAATTTTACATTAATGTTTTAGAGCCTTCATAGACTTATATGCCTCACATTTAGTTCGAATTGTTAATTTTTGTTAATTGTAATTTATTGATGAATACTGAACACTGACTGACATTATTAAAGCTAATTTCTACTTAAAATATTTATGGACATCCCTTATTTCTACAAAGAAAAACTGTTTAAGATTATAATAATATTGGTCAATAAGAAACTGACAATAGCTATACGTAAATGTTATAGTTAATTATAAAAAATTGAATTATTTATTTTCAAATTTAATTTTTCTCAGATACTAGTCTTACATAAGCACTTGTTTGGCACTTCTACTGTCAAGTTAAGTTGTATCCAATAACTTTCGACTTATCTATTTTGCTCTGTAACCCTATATACTTTTGGATTTGTCATAATCTCTAGTAAAATTCAGTATTACATCTTAATGACAAAATGGTTATCAATCCTTTTGATAGCGTTTGTTGCCAAACTTAACAAGAACTAGAACTGAATTGGTTGAAATTCACGAAAACAAGATCAATTAAATTATTTTAAGAATGTGATAAGATTGATGTAATTTACACGTTCGAATCTTTGATTATAATATCTTAAAGGTACCATTGTTAGTCTTTTTCAGAATATTCATATTTTCATATTTGTTACAGGTTACTATGCTAGAAAAGCAGTTTGGTTTCAGTAGCGCGGAGACTGGCTTTCTGATGAGCTGTAACGATATTGGGTTCCTTTCGTGTATTATATTCTGTGGGTTCATTGCAAGAAAGGTACAAATTATGCTTCCTACTTTCTTTGCGTTAATTCATTTTGTGTTATTGTGTGTCAAAGGAACATAACTAATGTTGCAATTAATATCATCTGTCATTAAAGAAACAGAATCAATCGAACTAAGTCTAAAGTTGCCACATTGTTACGAGAGGTGTTCAAATTATTATGAAACAATTTTAGAACCTGCCTAATTATTTACTCGCATGTGTTTAATTGCAAAAGATCAGGGATCCATGGCAAAAGTAAAACATTCTATACCTTTTTTGGCCAGCTTTCTAAAGTCCGATTTATGCATGATTGCTCAAGTTTGCTCCATTCATCTTTGAGATCCTTTTTAAGACCGGACATGGTATAAATCTTGCGTTCATGTTACCTACGTTTCAGTATACCCTAGATACCAAATCCATGGGACCTGCATCTGGGCTTTTTGGCATCCATTCTGCAGGTGTTATAAAATTCACTTTGCGTTTGTCGAGAAAGCTAATGGTCATTTTAGCGGTATGATAAGAGGCCGTGTCTTGATTGAATACCATATCGTTCTCTCTTCCAGGAAAAACAAAGTTGCGGAGCAACTTTTTTTGAGAAATGGCTTTAGAACTTTGTCTATGTAATATTTTGCATTGACTTTTACCCCTTTATTGATAATAAATAGAGATGTTTTGCCGTAGCTTAAACCATCAGTTTGTTCAGATCTGTCTTACTAGTTCGAACGAAGCAAACACAACATCGATCATAACTTAAGCCAATAAAAATATAGCCTCGTCTGTGGTGTCAACACTTTTTCATTTTCCACAGTTAAGACGGAGATATAGGCGTCATGATCGAGCGAATCCTTTCAAAATCTGGGCCTCACTATAAACACGGTAGTTTTGCTATTACTCTGTTGATATTGCATGGAGACAGCCATATTTAGCTGCCATTTCTTTTTGTGGGAGGATTAACCAACGTAATCATATTACGGATTTTACGTACGACATCAGCAGTTGCTGCTGTGCGACGTATAGTAAAAGAACCACTTTTACCTGTTTTGCGTATGTTATTTCGAAAAGCACCTTTACCATGTTGAATGCGATGCACAACAGCAGCAAAACATTATGTTCCATCTGTTTTACTTGTTTCGCAATGTTTCTGTAGGACATTTTTGGCTTCAAAAGTCCTTAAATAAAGCCTTGATAATAGCTTAAATCAATTTGTTTTATCTAACCAGATTGGATTTCCGATTCAAATGAGATAGGTATATGTATGACACACTACTTTACATTTATTAATCGCTTTGCACAAGTTTTTGTAAGCTATACAATCTTAAAACGTGTTTTGAATGTGTTTCATAATAAATGGAAACCTCTAGTATGATTTTTTCACTGCTCTCTAGGTACGTAGCTCAGCATTTCCCGGGTATTTTTTTACGAGATTGCACACACTTTTCTCATTCTTAAGATCTTTTAGCATGTACGTTTTCCAAAAATCTATAATGGATAATTCAATTTAATCTACCAGAACTACATGAACAAGTGCATTAGTTACACTTAAATATTTTTGAACAACTTATAAAATTGACAAAGAAAATTATTATTATGATAAATTCTGTTATCCTTCACGACTCAATTAGTATATACATTCATGTATTCCGAATATAGTCACTAAATTTTAGAATCCATTACCATCATTCGTCTGTAAATAAAAGTCAATTTGTTTTTGTTAAGGTACATATACCAAGAGGTTTGGGGATCAGCACCATTTTGTATGGTATATGTGGTATAATGTGCTCTTTACCATACTTTATACAAGATCATTCCTCCTATGAAATCGATCAGATGACTAATAACCTTGATATACAAACAAATACAACAGCTCCTGGTGGAAAAGTCCCAATGTGTGTAAATGATGCATCAAATGGTGACAGAGATAGATGTTCTGCAGATATTGAAGGTGTTGCAAAATCAATGACTGTTGTTCAACAACTTCAAATCAAGAAAGTTGCATATTGCATTATTGCTATCGGAATGGTAAGAATGTCGTAAATATGGATATAAATTATAATTGTTTCTAGCTCAACTATCCCCAGAATAATCGAGCTAATGCAGTCACCCATTTGTCGGCGTCGGCGTCCCTGTGGTTAAGTTTTTGCGTGTAAGCTGGTATCTCCATA